TCTGAATGAATAATGCTGTACTTCGGTTGACAGATAAGATATTGTACAAAGTTACATGTTACAGGATCTTGATCCATGTTATTTTTTAAAAGAGCTGTAGAAATCCTGAACTAGATCAGAGCGACAGCCTTGCTAGGGGGGTGGGGGTGGGATAGTGATGGTGTTAAACCCTTTCCTCTTCTTGCTGTGTCCACAGTTGAACTCTCCCCCCTCAAGTCTGCTGCTTTAGCCATACTTTGGCAGAGGGCAAGACAGGCACAATATAAGTCCTGGTTTCTTCCCTCAGTGAAAACTGATTTTGATCAGCGCTATGCCCTTCCCAGTAGAGGCTGATCCATAATGGCGAATGAGTCAGTTCCACCTCGTATGGGCTCCGGCTCCACCAGTGTTCTGCCCCACCAGTCCTCATGGCCAACACTGCCCACCAATCCTGGATCCAATTTGGGATTGCCATAGTTGACGTGTGATTACAGATCCCCTGCATAATTTGTGGCTTGTCCCTTAGAGGTGCAGCATGCAAATATATAAAGCTGTCTTATTCTAAATCAGTCTTGGTCTGTCTAGCCCCTGCCAAAGGCTCCATCAAAACTGTTATACCCCTCTTTGAATTGCTAGCAGTGTAGGGGAAGCATTATTAATATGGTGTTGGGCCACCCAATTATAAAGTATTCTGTGGTGATGTTCTGGAAACAGTTTAGTATTTAAAGATGTGCATGTTTTAGTAAACTTCTTGTACTCCGACACTTAAGACGGAAAATAGCACTTTTCACATAGGATGGATGTTTGTACTGTTTAAGTTAACATGAGCATGTGTTGTTGTTGGCATCCATCTTGTCTCGGGAGACAGTGGAAGAATGTGCCATCCAAGGCAAACCATTGGATACTTCCAGCACCTGCTGTGGCTGTAGAGACCAATACGTTTGGTTTCGCTGATAGATGCACCATAGAATTTATTCTCTCTGTGCTCCTCCCAGAAGAGCATAAAGAGCATATTTAGTGTACATTGCTTCTTCCATTTCATGTGCTTGAAATAACACAATAACACAACTCACTTTCCTCTCTCTCCTCTCCTTCTATTGTTCCCCCACATTTGGGGGGAAATATTACATATGGGTGGGGTTTTCTCCTTTTTCCTTACTTGTGATTGGTTTAAAAATTGCAATTTAAACATGTTTACTGGCACACTATCATCTACTCTGACTGGCAATAGTCTCTCCCAGATTCTTTTACTGGCAATTCCAGGAATTTTACCTGGGGCCTTCTGCATTCAACACTTGTGCACCAGCACTAAGCTATGGTCCTCCTTCATTCCAATGTAAAACATCTTTTCCTTGCTGCCATCATTACCACATTATAGACATAATAGTGCATTATCACATGTCTTCAGTCAGATTCACATCGGGATTTCCTCCTCTTGCACTCTAGCCATAGTTCCACCAAGTGGCCGTACACATCTCACCATGCCCTGGCAAAACCAAATCTTGACAGGTGCACCAAAATCATCCAGGGTAAGGCATCCAGATTCTGTAAGTTTTCAGGGGTGGATCATCCCAATGCCTCCACCCTTAGGTGGTACTGCCACAGCTATGCCAAACCTCACCAGGGTATGATCTGTTCTTGACAATGAGCTCAGTACTCATTGGTACTTAATGGACTCAAGCCAGCCAACTCTGTTACAAAGAGCAGGTCAAGGGTATGTTCAGCCAAATTATTTGGAGCACTGATCAACTGGGATAACCCCATAATTGCCATAGATATAATAATAATAATAATAATAATAATAATAATAATAATAAAATTATTTGTACCCCGCCCATCTGGCTGGGCTTCCCCAGCCACTCTGGACGGCTTCCAAAAAAAATATTAAAATCTTCTAATACATCAAACATTAAAAGCTTCCCTAAACAGGGCTGCCTTCAGATGTCTTCTAAAAGTCTGGTAGTTGTTGTTCTCTTTGACATCTGGTGGGAGGGCGTTCCACAGGGAGGGCGCCACTACCGAGAAGGCCCTCTGCCTGGTTCCCTGTAACTTGGCTTCTCGCAGTGAGGGAACCGCCAGAAGGCCCTTGGCGCTGGATCTCAGTGTCCAGGTAGAACGATGGGGGTGGAGACGCTCCTTTAGGTATACTGGACCGAGGCCGTTTAGGGCTTTAAAGGTCAGCACCAACACTTTGAATTGTGCTCGGAAACGTACTGGGAGCCAATGTAGGTCTTTTAAGACCGGTGTTATGTGGTCTCTGCGGCCGCTCCCAGTCACCAGTCTAGCTGCCGCGTTCTGGATTAGTTGTAGTTTCCGGGTCACCTTCAAAGGTAGCCCTACGTAGAGCGCATTGCAGTAGTCCAAGCGTGAGATAACCAGAGCATGCACCACTCTGGCAAGACAGTCCGCAGGCAGATAGGGTCTCAGCCTGTGTACCAGATGGAGCTGGTAAACAGCTGCCCTGGACACAGATTTAACCTGTGCCTCCATGGACAGCTGCGAGTCCAAAATGACTCCCAGGCTGCGCACCTGGTCCTTCAGGGGCACAGTTACCCCATTCAGGACCAGGGAATCCTCCACACCTGCCCGCCTCCTGTCCCCCAAGAACAGTACTTCTGTCTTGTCAGGATTCAACCTCAATCTGTTAGCCGCCATCCAACCTCCAACCGCCTCCAGGCACATATAATGAAGTCCCAAAGTATCACACTGGAGGCCACCTCAGCCTGGATGTTGAAGTCACTCAATGAACACTGGAGGGGTTCTCCAACACCATGTCCAACAGTTCAGCCAGGGCAGTGTTGTACAACCAGCAGGGTGCACACAAACACCATCTCCAGTCTGCCATGGTGGCCCAGCACCAAGAACAAATACTCAAAACAGGTCACAGAGTAGATTGGCCTTCTGGTGAGAGGGATCAAATTCACATGAATACCCCAACTCTGCTCCACAGATCTGAACTGGTGCTGTACTGAGTGCAGGATGGGCAAAAGTTGAGTTAACCTTCTAATTCACCTACCCTGGTCTCTGTCATGCCCCTGTCACCCACAATTTTGATAACTGACTTATTTTGGACAGACCTGTAAGTCACCAACAGCAGCACCAGATCTGAGTGCAAGTTTTCTGGCTTCATCAAATCCTGATTGCAAATGGGCATAGTAGAGGAAACAAGGACCTTGATGTACTTCATCTCTCAATTCTGGATCATGACCTTCCCCTTCCTCCTCTTTCCACCCAGTTCCAGTCACACAAGCACAAGATGTCACACATTTTGAGCACTAAAATGATGACACTAGTGAAGGAAATCAATGCACATCTCATGTGTCCCTCTGCCCCACCTCCCACCCTGCTGAGGCATAATCTTATGCCATTGTGTTTGCTTCTGAGGATGTAATAAGTTGCACTTAATCTAAAACAGAAGTGAAAGCTTCCAAACCCACCCTCAAGGCTGCACCAGGAGATGACAGTAGAAATGAAGAGTCCACAAGGCCAGCATTCACTGAGGCTTATTCTCATAATGTTGAACCATGCTCTGGCCTTATGACTGAGCAAAGTCACTATCTCCCATTCCCGCCTGCCTCAAAATATTGCTGTAGAGATAATGGGGCTTGTGGTCAGAACATGTAGTGTTGGTTTGTTAGCCGCTCTAAGGGTGGCAGTACTGAAGCGTGGCGTAAAGGTAAAGGGACCCCAGACCATTAGGTCCAGTCGTGACCGACTCTGGGGTTGCAACACTCATCTCGCTTTATTGGCCGAGGGAGCCGGCGTACAGCTTCCAGGCCATGTGGCTAGCATGACTAAGCCGTTTCTGGCGAACCAGAGCAGCGCATGGAAACGGCGTTTACCTTCCCGCCGGAGTGGTACCTATTTATCTACTTGCACTTTGACGTGCTTTTGAACTGCTAGGTTGGCAGGAGCTGGGACTGAGCAACGGGAGCTCACCCCATCACAGGGATTCGAACCGCTGACCTTCTGATTGGCAAGTCCTAGGCTCTGTGGTTTAACCCACAGCCCCACCTGCGTCCCTGAAGCGTGGTATACAAATCTTTTAAATAAACATGTAGGAAGCCTGAACTCCCTCAAAGAAGGAAATTAAATAAGTAATAAATGATACTAACCCAAATAATACTAAAAATCCTTTGGAAACCAAAAGGAGTAACTAGTCATCAACAGCATCACTTAAACCTTGCCCTTCAAACAAGAATTTATACTTTTTGTGTCTGAAAAAGAGTAAAATTTGCATACGGACAACATCAGCGTAAGTTAAAACAATCGTTAAGTTAATAACATGTAGGCAAATAAAAACGTATCTGAGGCCGTTTGCCTTATCTAAATGTATTGCTCTGTCACCTGGAGTAAAAGTTTTATGCTTCCAAATATCAGGATTTATGCAACTGAATTTGTTATTTTGGAAAAGTGGAGTTTCTAGGGTGGCACTGACTACTGTGAATTACAGTCATACCTTGGGATAAATGTGCTTCAAGTTAAGTATTTTCGGGTTGTGCTGCACAGCAACCCGGAAGTAATGGAGCACGTTACGTCTGGGTTTTGCCACACGTGCATGCGCAGACAATCAAAATGACGTCACGCGCATACGCGGAAGCGGCAAAACGCGACCTGCGCAGACGCGAGTTGCATTCATTTCAGAATGTGAACAGGGCTTCAGAATGGATCCCGTTCGCATCCCGAGGTACCACTGTAATTGTGGTTATACCATTTGTCTTAGAGGAGAATACCTTTTCTATTTATTTAGCTTTTACATTTTGATGATAAAGTATTCTGGTTTAAAGTTCTTAAGAAGTTATGAGCTTTTGATAAGAATCTTCTTTCTGCTTGAGAAGCAAGTTGTTTAAAAGCTTTACTCTGGGCAACATGTGTGCAGCTGTTTCCCACATAGGCTTTTGCTTGTATTTTACTTCATATGCTACTTCAACCTTTTTTCCCCTCCCATTTTTTTCATTTTTTCTGTTCTTTCTTTTACTCTTCTCTTTTTTCTCTCTCCCCTTTCTGCTCTCTGGATGCAGCCAAACGCAAAGCGTGGAAACTAAACCGTGTTGGTAGCCTGCGAAATATATACAGCAGCAGCAGCACCAACACTGAAGGTAACAAAATCAAAGCACCATCATGTAGAGGAACTGCTCCCTCTCCCAGCGGTATCTTCATTGCCTCTCCCTTTCCCCTAAATCCTGGGATAGCAATAAAATTTGCCCAAAGCACGTGTGCTTTCATGTTGTGTATGCAGAGCCATTCCTTTGGTCTTTTCATCTTTCTGTTTGTGTGTTTTATTTTGCCATTCATGTTCCTTTCAGTTTACTTAAATTTTGACCTTTCCCTCTAGTCGTGGAGTAGTGATGTTTAAATTACTTCAAGAACCCATTTTCTTCAATTTTTTTATTTTCCCTTTATACATGTGGGCACTCAATGTAATATTTCCCAAGTTATTACAGTTTTTTAAAGTGTTGGTATCAGGTGTAATGATCTGTAGCCAAATACAATAGTGTGCTGTGACATTTAAGTAACAGTCTTAATTTGTTTTGTGAAAGCATTCTCCATAATGCTTTCTGCAGCTCTAATCCAAAAGCGAGACAGAGCCAAACCATTTGCATGTGCTACTCTTGCTTGTAAATTCTGTATATTGTTGTATTTCTAAAGGTCGCCTGGTGCCAAAGTTCACAAATTGACTTACATTGCTGTTTTCAGTGAAGGCAGCCATCATGGCTTTTGTATAATAGCAGATTGAATTTCTTTCCTTCACCTTCATTTGAACAATGCAATTATAAACTGCCTTCTTTTTTTCCTTTTTTTTTTTTACAAAGGTCAAAGGTCAAAATTACTTGGAAACCAAAGGGGGGGGGATCTTCATCCACCATCTCAGAGACCGTATAAACGGTGATGCTGAATGCAAAATAGGTCACAATTCAGTAATCTTCTTGTAATGGGGGGAATTTTTTTTCACTTAAGTGCAAACCAAATGGGTCAAGTAATCACAAGCGCATGCCCTTACACTAATTGACTTATTTTGGAATGATTATAACTATAATATTTTTCTTAATGTCACTGTTTTCTGGGCTGTTGGTTTTAGTGATTGAGAAGAGACAGCATTAAATCTCTTGTAAATTTTAAATTGCATGCTATTTCTGTAAACAAGTCCCTGTGTTCACATTCTGATCATTAACCTTTGGTGATTTATCTCACAATCTCTCTTTTTCACAATTACTACTCTATCTCAGGCAGTTGCCTTACTTACCACCAGATAAAATGTATCTGGGACACAAAAGTGCTTTTTTACAGCCACTTGTTAGGGAGCAATTTTACTATAATACTGGTTTATTTCCCATTGTAAATATTAAATTGTCACCTTTTAAAATAACAAAGCTGTAAGCTCTGAGACAATATTTGCTACCTTTCAAATGGCTTTTAGAAGAAAAACTGGGACCAAATTAGTCATAAATATCCACTGCCTGGGAATAGTAAATAAGGATTGTTTTTCGCAGTTAAAACAGAACCGCACATATTCACTGCTTTCACCCCAAAGTGCTTCACTGAATATTTCTGTATTTTGCTCTTTCATTTGTTGTGTCTACATAGTATTTCATTTCATCTTGATAATATTAGGTTTCATTATTTCCTAGTTATCATTTTGAGAAGTGAAAGTATATTACCTTGTTTGCCACCAAAATATTTATTTAATTAGAAAATGTTTAAAATATTTGCTGGAAAAAATATCCTAGCAGTGTGCTAATTCCATTATATATAAAGCGTGACTAATTTCCACCAACCAATTAAAAACAAATGTGCATAAAATGATTATTAAAAGCAAAGATAAAAATCAATAAAACATTCAAAACAAACATAACTGACACGTGATTGGGTAAGCTTGCTAAAACAAAGGTTTTCAGCAGTCAAACAATATAGCGAGGGCACCTCCTTACACCAATGGGCATAGAATTCCAGGTCAGAGATAATGCCACACTAAAGGAATTACATCTTTCAATGTGGAACAAACAAAAAGCACTTGCAAAGTTCAGGTTCTGCAAATCAAAGTAATCAAATAGGTGCATGGGGTAAGACTATCCCTTGTGAACTGGTCTCAAGACATTAAGGACTTGCATGTACTGATGGCAACACCTTGAGCATGGCCTGCTAATCAATCAGTAGCCGCTGCAGAACTTTGACCAAAAACTCTCAATGTGGCAGCATTCTGAACTTAACAGCAGTTTCCAGATCAACCACAAGAGAAGCCACACATAGAGTGCATTGTCGTAATTCAACCTTGAATTTGCCACAGTGTCTGAACGACTGTGGACAAGCTATCCGGATCCAGAAATGGTTGCAACTGTCCTACCAGTGGTTCTAATCACTGAGGCTGCTTGGGCCTCCATTGACAAAACTGGACCCAGGAGCACCCCTAGACTGTGTGCCTGCTCCTTTGGGGGAATGCATTCCCATCTGGAACAGGCAATTGACCGATACAGTCAGATACAATACCCACTCAACCACAGAGCCTACATCTTCAGATTCAAGATGTTTGTTTTCTCTCAGTCAGCCCACTACTGCATGCAGGCACCAATCTAGGGCCTGTATGACCTCCCACAATTCAGATGTTATGGAGAAGTAGAGCCTTTGCCCCAAGTCTCCTAATGGCTGCTCCCAATGGCTTCATGTAGATGTTAAACAGCACTGGGGAGAAAATGGTGACCTGTGGCACTCCATAGCATAACCTCCAGGGTTCCAAAAGCATGCTTTCAGTTTTCAATAACTCACAAGGTGTCAGTGAGTTTCTCTTTAATCAGAGAAGCAAAACAGCTCAGGCCTGAGCACAGCAACTCTTCCCAGTGGTCTTGCCCCAGTGAAACAATTGCAAGGGCTGAAGGTCTCCTCCTTCTACAGCTCCCTAAGTCCCCTCCTCCCCCAGGCCCTTCCCAAGCAACTTCTTTGCCTTGTCTCTTTGTTCTTCCCTCTTCATACATCTGTGGGTTCTGGGAGACCCGGGGGGGGGGAGCTTGTCACAGCAGGAAAGGGAGATACCTGTGCTTTTTCACAAACCTGACTCATCTCTGCCTTTTGGCTCCCCCCACCCCCTTATTTCAGCTTTTGCTTCTGCCTCTGATTCTGGACTGCTCTCTGTTACAGCCTCTTCTTGCTCACTAAACCCTGTTGCCTCTTCATCTTCCAAACCACCTCTTCCCAGTCTGCTCCCTCTGACCACTCATTGCCATCCCACCACCAATCCCCTGGCTCTGAGCCTTCTTCCTTTGAGGGTTCTCCAGCTGGTTCCTCCCACCACTCCTCTGCATCCAGCCAGTCAGTGACAATACAGGAGGGAAACTGAGGCCCATTTGGTCTCATTACTTGGTCCCATGACTGAAGTTCCACACCCCTGACTTTAAGAATCCAGGAAAGGCACAATTTCATGGTGACAAAATAGCCCAGAAGAGGATGTTGGAGATAGGTGGTTCTGAGTTAGTATTGGAGGAGAAACAGGGAAGAGATGATGATGATGATGATAAGGAAATGCAGGCAGAGGAGGTAGATTGTGCTGAAAGAAGGGGCCAGAGAGAGTGTTGGGATTTGCAGGATACGGAGTAAGTCTGCAGGCTTTAACAGGCTGATGCAATACTCTGTGAAGTGCTGGGTCAGAGTGACTCAGCGGGAATGTGATTGGCTATCACCTGTTTTAAAAAGGAAAGCCTGTTCAACAGTGATTGTGGTGGTTGTGCTGTGGTGTGGTGGTGGAGAGTATTCGTTTGCCTTAAGGAGCAGGTACTCTGTATGGACTGTTTTTGTAAATACTTGTATATAGCTCACATTAAAAAGACTGCACTGAAAAGAAACCTGGGACTCTGAGCGTTTCTGCTGAAAGCGCCGCGAGGAATTCGCGACAGAGAGAACCCCACCTAAGGCTTATAGACAAGGAGTGTTGTGTTGCTTGGGAAGGGAGCAAGGAACACGAAGATACGAGAGGAGAGGACTCTTGAGACAGGCTGTAGGCAGAGACATTCACATAGAGTTGTAATATGTCCCTGGCCTTGGATATTCCTTGACCAAATCTTTTTTTATTATTATTAACAAAAAATAAATAAAAATAAACCCATACAAGTTATCTTACCATTTCTGAATGCTGACTGTTAGAGCTGTTTCTTATCTCTCTGCTAGTTCCCATGATACACAAGTGTTACTAATGACTAATTTGGACTTCTGAAAGCTCAAATATATGCTATTTTACGAATTCTTTTTTTACTTTGAGAAATGTGTGGTTTTTTTAAATTATTATTATTATTATTATTATTTACATAAAAGTGCTATTAAAAAATGAAGAAAAATAGAAGAAAAAGTATATAGTATATCACTATATTGTTAGCAGTTAACAATTACCATTTTTAACATACTGTATTTTGTATAAATGAGTTCCAAATTTCATTATACTTGTCCATGCAAAGTCTACCTCTATAAGCAATCTGCTTATAGGTGGCAAGAGTAGTCAGGTCTTCAATCCATTGAATTAACGGAGCCGTACATTTATCTTTCCAATGCAGCAACATCAGTCTTTTGGCCCTAGTGAGGGCATGGAGAATCCATTTGCATTGTCCAGTGCTCAAATTCTACGTAGTAGATATATAATTCAAAAGCGTATTATTCTCTGAAAAATAGGTATTTGCATTTTGGAAATCAGTTAATAAAACTAGTATGATAAGTTGGATAGATAAATGTTGTTACATTTTTATTTATACTGGAGCAAACTACTCCACTGAGTGCTTTCTTGAGTGCCTTCACCGTTTAATATCCAAATCCCCCCAAAGTAGTTATTTACTTTTTGCTATCCTTCAAATATAGAAAACTTCCTGCCCGTTAACCCTCTGTATGCTAAATTCCCGGGAGGGTATGATGATTAATTGGCCCACTAACCTTTTAGGTGAAAAATAAAATAAAGAATGGCAGCAACCTGGATCTGTGTTAAGAGTAGGATTCTTTTTGAAATCAGTTTGATGGCCAAGTTGCTTGTCCCTGAAGATAACAAAATTAGCCACGTGGGACTTCGTCTGCATAGAAACTGGACACAATTAGAGTAATATTCACTGTTGTTAATGCAGTTTGGGATAAT